CTATCCTACTTACTGCCAACGTTGGCCCCACGTTGGCCCAACGGTCACTTTCACGTGGGGCCTACGTGGGTAGCCTACGTTGGGCCAACGTATCCTGACGTTGGAGGACCACGTTGGGCCAACGTGGGCCCCACGAAAAGTGTTATCTGGGGAGCAACACAGAACGAAGAAGTGTGACGATGAACGCATATTTTCATTGCCGTTTCAAAAGGGCAAATGACACATGTTAACAATTTCCGTAAATAATTGGGTAATCGTATGAGGTGTGACCTACCGATATATTCTCACTTCAGACGCATTCCCCTCAAGCTTTTCCGTACGGAATCCTCCCCGCCTCTTTCCCATTCGATGCATTCCCTTCCTCAATTTAAGGGATATTTTTTTTTTTAAAGAGCGATTGGTTACGAAATGTGGACATTATGCTTCAAATGATACCATTACATCGGAGGAAAATCAATGGCGAGAATGGAGCAGTCGGGCAGATGTATACCAGTGACGTCATTTGCCCTAGGGCTAGAACCGCCATTATTCGGGGCTTCGCTTTTGACCCAACCTTATCTACTTTTCTAACCTGGGTGGAAACTCCCGATTCGAAGCAGTCGAAGATGGTGTGATGGATGTATGGTCCCTTCAAGAACTCTTTTTCGTCGTCTGGACTAGTTTCTTTTTGGTGATATTGTCGGGTTGGTTTCTGTTTCGGTTCGTGGAATGGTCAACTACGCATGTGGGAAAACCCAGGGGGTGCCAGGCTCCTCCTGTCTGTGGTCGGGAAAAGGTAAGCAGAAAATTTCTTGTACATTTGCTTAACGGAAATTAATGTATTCCTTAATCTGAAAAGGTGAATTAATTTTTAAGATTTAATATTGAAGTATATTTAATCAAGCACCAATAGTAATGAACTTGTCTTCAAATATTTTCAGCCAGCTTAAATATTAACTCCGTCTCCAGATTGCAATGAATAACCAAATTAGAATCAGTCACCAAATTTTTTATTTTGAACTTACTAAATATGATCGCACCATCAGGCGCTGGTTTCACCAAATTTGCATTAGCCTGCGCCAATAATATGCTCTCATCATCAAACTAATGAAATTATCAGCATTTGCAACAATGGCAAGGAAAGGACTTTTCTTCATTTCCATTAGGCCTAAGATGGCAAGATGAGATTTTAAGGTCATGTCATGCTTTGGGGACCCATGTAACGAGCCTCTTTGCACTCGTGAATGTGAACGGTGTTCATTGTGGCACTGACTTCCAGATTCTGTGAGCTCTATGTATTAGAGCTACCTTGGCAACAAGAGAGTATGAGGACATGGAAACGAGAAAGGGACTTGTGCTGATTTGTGAGAGCTCAAGGTTTCAAATGCCCATGGCCAGCTTAGATCAAGAGCGGCATTTGCAAACGTTCACTCAGAATGTTAATTCATCACTGCGATGAATTAACATTCTTCACTATCACTGCGATAGTGTTCTCTGCCCTGCTGGCCTGCAAAAATAACATTTTCTTTCTTTTGACATATGAAATGTGACTGATTTGGTGCTAAATCAGTAAAATTTGCACCTCATTTCATGGGATCTGGTGAAGATACTGAGGGAGAATTTAGTGTGTGAAGGAGTCAATATTATTTGGTGATGAGTTAAAAGCTTATCTTGAATTTTTTTTCAGTTGTCTTGGATTAACACCTGGGAGATGATACTTGTGGAAATTGGTTCTAAAAAAGGAATAATATCAATCTTTCNAGATGATCTGATCAGAGAACCGGAGCCTTTGGAGAACTTGACGAGAAAGGGCCTTGCGCTGAATTGTGAGAGCTCAAAGTTTTAAATGCCCATGGCCAGTTTAGATCAAGAGCGGCATTTGCAAACGTTCACTTGAAATGTTAATTCATCGCAGGGATAGTCAGTGTTCTCTACCCTGCTGGCCTGAAAAAAGAACATTTTCTTTCTTTTGACATGAAATGTGACTGATTTGGTGCTAAATCTGTAAAATTTGGAGGTCATTTCATGGGATCTGGTGAAGATACTGAGGGAGAATTTAGTGTGTGATGGAGTCAGTATTATTTGGTGATGTGTTAAAAGCTTATCTTGAATTTTTTTTCAGTTGTCTTGGATTAACACCTGGGAGATGATACTTGTGGAAATTGGTTCTAAAAGAGGAATAATATTAATCTTTCAGGATCCAAGAGAGTTGAAAAGAAAAGTCTTGAAAAGGGTTCTGGAATCTCCTGGATTTGAACTTCACATAAATCACCTCTCTGACCATATGGTAATGCCTGTACCACAATTGAAAGTCTTCCTCAATGGCCTCAGTCCATTTATAATTTCTGAGGAAGATATAGTTTCACTGCAGATTGGCTTGAAGATATGCGAGGATTTACCTGATGGATGCACAGGTGACTGCAATGGTTTGCATATGTGCTACAAATATGTGACTAAGAAGTGTTCTCGAGGTGACAGTTGTGAGGAAGGACATGACTTCAAGACGAACCACAATACCAAGATTCTTCAAAATTTTTACCTGGAAGATGCAGATTCCCAGTTGCTGTTGAAGTTGATGCAATCCTCAGTGGATGAGGTTGTAGTTCCAGAAATTTGTGATCATTACAATGTAGGGGAATGTGAGTGTGGGAGTGAATGCACAGAAATGCATCTGTGTCTCAACTCCATCCTGGGCACATGCAACGATTGGTGCTTACTGAACCATGATATTTTGGAACCACAATGTCAAAAATTGCTCAAGATGGGAGGGGTGAAGACCTATTACTCAAAAAGGGATTTGAAGAATCACTTGAGAGTGAGGCAGAAGGAGCAAAGGCTGGATGCAATCATGAAGCAGGAGAGACGAAGCAGTAGGCTTGTGGAAGAGGCTTCAAGGAGAAAGGTATTCCATGCTGATGAAGATGATGGTGAAGTGGAAGTTCCTGAGGTTTGTATCTTCCTTCTCAATGATCGATGTCTCGATGGAGAAAGAGGTTAATAGTAATAATTCATTCACAGTAATAATTAACTGAAATAATAGTTAACAGTAATAATTAATTCACCCTGAAAAGGTGAATTAATTTTTAAGATTTAATATTGAAGTATATTTAATCAAGCACCAATAGTAATGAAATTGTCTTCAAATATTTTCAGCCAGCTTAAATATTAACTCCGTCTCCAGATTACAATGATTAACCAAATTTGAATCAGTCACCTAATTTTTATTTTTGAACTTACTAAATATGATCGTACCATCAGGCGCTGGTTTCACCAAATTTGCATTAGCCTGCATCAATAATATGCTCTCATCATCAAACTAATGAAATTTTCAGCATTTGCAACAATGGCAAGGAAAGGACTTTTCTTCATTTCCATTAGGCCTGTAATGGCAAGATGAGATTTTAAGATCATGTCATGCCTTGTGGGGCCTACAGAGTAGAACCAGTCTAACGAGGCACCTTGCGCTTGTGAATGTGAACGGTGTTGTGTGGCACTGACTTCCAATTTCTGTGAGCTCTATGTATTAGAGGTACCCTGGCAACAAGAGAGTTTGAGGACATGGAAACAAAGAGGTGCCTTCATCGCCTGCAGTGACGGCAATGCCATGGGGAAGAGGTTTGGAAAAGTGCTCAAGATGATCTGATCAGAGAACCGGAGCCTTTGGAGAACTTGACGAGAAAGGGCCTTGCGCTGAATTGTGAGAGCTCAAAGTTTTAAATGCCCATGGCCAGTTTAGATCAAGAGCGGCATTTGCAAACGTTCACTTGAAATGTTAATTCATCGCAGGGATAGTCAGTGTTCTCTACCCTGCTGGCCTGAAAAAAGAACATTTTCTTTCTTTTGACATGAAATGTGACTGATTTGGTGCTAAATCTGTAAAATTTGGAGGTCATTTCATGGGATCTGGTGAAGATACTGAGGGAGAATTTAGTGTGTGATCCTCAGTCATAATAAACCACTACACAATTTTCGAATAGAACTTAAAAAAAAGTCAACAGAACCTAATTGTGGACCCTCTACTATGAACACCTTTAACCAAGATTTTCTCCTTATTATAATTAGAAAGAGGATCCAAGAGAGTTGAAAAGAAAAGTCTTGAAAAGGGTTCTGGAATCTCCTGGATTTGAACTTCACATAAATGACCTCTCTGACCATATGGTAATGCCTGTACCACAATTGAAAGTCTTCCTCAATGGCCTCAGTCCATTTATAATTTCTGAGGAAGATATAGTTTCACTGCAGATTGGCTTGAAGATATGCGAGGATTTACCTGATGGATGCACAGGTGACTGCAATGGTTTGCATATGTGCTACAAATATGTGACTAAGAAGTGTTCTCGAGGTGACAGTTGTGAGGAAGGACATGACTTCAAGACGAACCACAATACCAAGATTCTTCAAAATTTTTACCTGGAAGATGCAGATTCCCAGTTGCTGTTGAAGTTGATGCAATCCTCAGTGGATGAGGTTGTAGTTCCAGAAATTTGTGATCATTACAATGTAGGGGAATGTGAGTGTGGGAGTGAATGCACAGAAATGCATCTGTGTCTCAACTCCATCCTGGGCACATGCAACGATTGGTGCTTACTGAACCATGATATTTTGGAACCACAATGTCAAAAATTGCTCAAGATGGGAGGGGTGAAGACCTATTACTCAAAAAGGGATTTGAAGAATCACTTGAGAGTGAGGCAGAAGGAGCAAAGGCTGGATGCAATCATGAAGCAGGAGAGACGAAGCAGTAGGCTTGTGGAAGAGGCTTCAAGGAGAAAGGTATTCCATGCTGATGAAGATGATGGTGAAGTGGAAGTTCCTGAGGTTTGTATCTTCCTTCTCAACGATCGATGTCTCGACGGAGAAAGAGGTCGCTGCAAGCGTTTACATGCTGGAATGCCTTACCATTGGCAAGTGAAGAATCCTGTTACCAATAAATGGATCAACTTGAGCAAGAACCAATCATTCAGACTTGAGCAGAATTTTGCTGATCCCTCTAAAGTCAAAGTCCAGCTTGACTCATTCACATCAGAGGAAGTGCACTTAACGAAACGGAGTCAACTCAGGAGCTTATTCCAGGATGAGTCATATGAAGTAGATTTGAATGAAGTTAAGAATGAAGGAATGAAGTTAAGAAACATGCAGACACAGGCAATAATGGACATTCGAAGGCTTAGTACAGAATCACATGTCATGACTGGCGGAAAGAAGCATTCCACTATGTAAGTCCCTTGATATCTCCAGATGGTTAGCATGTGCATTTGAAAAGGTCTTGTGTCTTTTGTGATTTTCTTTTGCATGACTGGATTCTCTCTCATCATTCTCAGTTGCACCAGAAACCCCCTAAATAAAAATATCTATCAATAATTTTCAGTTGCAAAGATTACATTTTGTGATCCTACCTATATTTTGAATCCAAGATAGAGTTTCCTTCTTAATAAAATATGGCAGAATTCTTACCTAAAAAATTTCTGCCCTATTTTCATAGCTCTTCATCCTATGAGATTATCCTATCTTTGGATTTTTTCATATTAAAAGTCAAGTAGTTTGCATAGAAGAGTCCAAGTAACTGTGGGTCCAAATGAAACCTCCTTTAGTTAACAATACATTAAGAATACATGTTCTATTGCAGAAAAATAGCATGTTAACTTAAAAGCTGCTGTATCTAGCCTAAATAAGGTTTGTACGTTCAGGCTGTATACTTTATTGAAGGCCTGAAACTATCCTTTCACTTGAATTGAGTTTTGAATGAAAGAATCATATTTGAAATGTTGCATACTGTTAGACTTCCTATTTCAAAACTTTTATGACTCATTCATACATGTAATCATACAATCTGGGCAGTTTGATGTTAAAAAGATATAGTGCAAGTCCTCCAAAGATTCTCTTATGCTAGCCATTATTTTCCCTATGCATGTTGAAATTGAATTCCTTTCCCCATGGTTTCAATTTACTCTATAGTTGGTGTTGGTACTTCCTTGACAAGTCAGGGAAGTGGATGGAATATGGTTCTACCACTGCTGAGCATAATTCTTTTAGTAACCTGAAATCAGCAGACATTGAGAAGCAATTCTGTACTGTACAAGGAAGTGGTTGCATTGCCTTCAGTACCAACAAATTCAAATATGAAGTCAACTTCCAAACAATGAAGCAGAAGAATCTCATGGTGAGCTGTAAATGCTTGTATTTTATTTGCTGCATTTAAAATAAAATGTCATCTTGGATAGGCATATTCCAATCCTTTGGTTGTCCATACCTAGAAAGTTTAAGTAATTATTTCACTGATTCTACATTATAGTAAAGAAATTCAATGATCTCATGATGAAGTATTTGGAGAACTTGTAGAACAAATGAATAATTTCTAATCAAAATATTTAGAATGATGCTGCAAATTGGAATGTGGAGTACTTTCTAAGTTGTCTTGTTCATCCTAAGTTCTACCCTGCAGGTACAAGACATCTTATGAGTGGAATAGATGGAATTGGGTTGTAGTGGATGATTAGTTGTGTATTACTCAAGAAATTTTTGAACTCATGAAATATTGAGTCATGATCATAAGTGATGATCCTATATGAAATTATGCCCCTTGTGTAGCTGCATAACTTTCTGCCTGTCAACCATTACTAAGATCAGTCCTGCTTTTCCATATGAAGGAACTCTTGTATGCATTCAGTGAAGATGATTGTCTTCATCAGGGTACTCACAGCTTTGATCTTGGAGGCAATAAATGATGCATAGTGGGAGGTATAGTTTCATGGAGAGGAGGGCCCATGATTTGGATTCCCAGACCCTATCAAGAAATCAAGGGTTCTGGTAGCCCAGTGTGGAGACGCATGATTGTAATATAGTGACAGGGTTCCACACAAGAAAACATTGAAGCAGATAAGCTGACCCTTCAAGTGTCACAGCTAAGCTTCCATGGAAAGTAGAGGGCTCATGTTTGGTAGGGAGGTTGAGGGGTATGAGGCCATGCTTTTTCATGTGTAGCACAATTGGAATTGTTTTGGGATGTTCAACTGCCTACCACTAGGAGAAGAGATCTTTCGATAGGTAGGGGGCATCACAGAGTGGATGTTGTACTGGATCTTGAAGGATGCCTGCTGCAATCTAACCATCATGAAGGACATTAACTCTCTTTTGATTTGTGACTTTAGGGAAGGATGGGGTTCAAGGTTGCTTAACCCCTAAAGTGGGGAATTTCTCAGACAGATGTCTACCCTCATAATGAGGATTTTTTTGTGAGATTCATAATTGGAGTTCATTTACTGAAATGTACTCCTTTTTTTATAGTTTATTCTCCTATTCAAGGTTGAAGTTCGTATTTAACTCAACTCAATTCAATTTAAAAATTCCTGGTTAAGTAGCTAAAGCACATTGAAGAATGGTTTTTCAGATGCTGTTACTAACATTTCCCACAGGCAATGGATCTTGAAGGTACTTCTGTGTTCCTGGAAATTTTTAACTGCTCCTAGTAGCTGTGTCCATTTATCAGTAAAAATCTTCCTTGCCTGAAAGTATGTGCCAGAGAATGAGGAAATCGCAGAATTATCTTCCAGCCAATGTGCTGGTTTTCTGTAATAAATTTTTATTGTAATTACTATTAAATATTAGAGCAGACCAGCTATCACTCTAAAAATTTTGTAAACTCATAAATCAGACTGGATTGATGTTCATGGATATCCAATGATGCTCCACAATCTGCTGAATCTCACTTAAGTTTTTCCCATGAAAGCTGCAATTATTCTGCAGCTTGTGTATTGTTAAGAAGGCAGTAGTAATCTGTAACAGCCTAGGGTACTGGTCTTGGAGATTTCGCAAGCTTGCCTCAAGTAGCTTTATAGTCAAAGTGCTCTAAGATTGACATGATGTCAAATTGCTACATTTCTTCTACCCTGTGCTTAATCTGTTATTAATGCTAGAAAGCCCCAAAGTATATATGTATTATTTTTGCAGACAAATGTGCAAAGAGACATCAGACGTCGTCCTGCTCCCCCTGATGGATCTAGCAATCTGGTGAATGTTCTCAAGTACCGCCATGTCCCATCCCACTGGGTCCCCATGCAAGAGACAGAAACTTGCAAGATGGTTCCTTTGTATCCTGAATCCCAAGAATACCAAAATGTTGCTTCCCTCATGCCTGGCTTTACTGTTCGGAAGATCACAAGGGTTCAGAATCCATATCTATGGGAGATGTATCAAAATAAGAGATTAGTCTTGTTAAAGAAGTATAATAATGATGCAGGAAAAGTGAATGAAAGGGTCCTCTTCCATGGCACTCCATCACAAAACATCCAGTCCATCTGTGAACAGAACTTTGACTGGAGGTTGCATGGGACTGCTAATGGCTCAGTCTTTGGTAAAGGGGTATATTTTGCTACAAACCCTCAGATCTCTACAGGGTATTCAAAAGGCGGTGGAGCTATATTTGCTGCAAAAGTCCTTGTGGGTTCTGCTGCTGTTGGGAAAAGTTCTATGGCCCGCCCTCCTACTGGTTATGATTCTACCACTGGTCTTAATGGTAGCCTGTTTGTGATGTACTATGATCAAGACTATTATCCTGAGTATTTGGTGGAATTCTAATGTTTCTTTCAAGTGCCTTTTTTCCTTGATAATATTCAGTACAACCACCAGTGAACATGCATGTCGGTGAATGGATTGTGACTCGTTACATTTTTAGAAACAATTTTGTTGTTAATAGTACTATCCTTCCCAGTTTCAAATAGAGGAACTTGACAAAAGAAAACAAGATCAGAAACATTGACCTAATGCTGATCGTAGTAATTCCATATTCTTTTTGCATATTTAAGAGCAAAAGAAATAGGGTTCTTGTGACTCATGTTACATTTAAATAGACACAAGTGCTGGTAGCTAACTTTCAGAAACAAACATCTGCTTTACTTGAAGAATGATCGAACCATAACTTAAATACTTGTCATGGCACATGTGAAGGATATGTCTAATTATTTCTACATATGAGAATCAATAGTCAGAAAGTTATGAATATGAAAAGTTACGCACAACTCAACACAAATTGTAGCAGCCAAAGAACACTGTTTCTGAAAAGTCCCTGGATTAATCCCATTTTTGATGTGTCACACTTGAGTAAAGCTTATTTGCAGCTGAGTTTACATTAAACATTGGCATTGTACATCAGTAATTGGTATCATTTATAGGATTAACATTTTGACCAATTTGGAATGACATATGTAGTGGAAGAGAAACAAATGTTCTGAATGTATTTAGGATGCTGGAATTCCAGCATAGCTTTGTGGGTTTCAATGCATCGTGTACATTGTTATTATGCTGTGTGATAATTCCAACTGCCTTGTGTTAAAGGGTTGCAAGGGAAAAGTTGATTGCTCTCATGAATATCATACTGTGATTCAGAGTTGCCTTGTTTAGCTGGTGCTGAACTTCTGCCCTTGTTGCTGTTATCTGATTTCCTATTCCTTGAGCCATTGTATTGAATATGGGGCATGACCTTTTTTTCAGCACTCAGTGGATATTGCTTCATAGTGCTTTCATAGTCTTTCATAGTCCTCAACTGTTATTTCATTTTCTTACTTACTGCTTTTCTGAGGGTAGAGTGACATCAAGATTCTACTGATTGAATCTGGAATATCCTTTAAAACATCTTGTATTTGAAAGCTTCATGAGCCATTGATACAGCAGTATTCTATAGTTACAAAACAAATAGAAATTTTGGATGTGCTTTTCTCATTTCATGGGGGATTATACAGTAGCATTATTATTGGATTTCAAGAAAATCTATTTTAAATAGTTGTGTTGGATTGTTTGAATGGTGTGACACATTTGATGCTTTGATATTTTTATGCAAACTCCTTGATTGCTTTTTTATATTTGAATACATTTTGGAAAATGAATTCAGGTTGTTAAATATTTGTGGCCATCACCACCTGTTGGAATCTTTCTTATTCTAGTTCTTATTGCAATTTTAGATGAATTAAAGACATTTATGGAAATGCTGTTTCAGGGAAAATGAAAGACAAATATTCCAGTCAGATGATGTTCCAATGAAAGTACTGCCTACTAAATCTTGGATATCTAAGCTATATTTTGTCTTGAATTCCAAACTTGGCTTATTCTTGCTTGAGAAATAATAAGGCTGACCGAATACCTAAGAGTCAATTTTGTTCTTATCTGATCAAGTGATTTTATCAAGAGTGCCACTACTGTAGATTCTGAGTTTACACAAGTTCATGAAACCCACAGACCCTTTAACTGTTCTGTGTATACAGGGTGTCCCATAAGTCACAATATCATTTCAATCTGCAATATTTTCCACCCTGCAACAACCAGGTCACTGCTGTTGGCATTGATCGAAAGAATGTTCCTTAGAATTTTTTCACAATAATAACTTGGAATCAGACTCAAACAAATATTTCTTCAAAAGCATATTGGGAAGGTGTACTTCTTTATGACTATTTATGGTTCACCTCATCAAATCCTCTACTGAAAATTTTCTAAACTTTGTTTTTCTCTCCTAATTTCAGGTACTCTTGAAAAAAAAAAACAATTTCACATAGTTTGCTTTCATTGTCATTAGAAAAGACATAACAATTGACTGGAGCTATGAAAGAAAGTTGTCACCTGGATCGGCAAATACGGTATTAACATTCTTAAGCCTCACAAAATTATTGTATTTTCGCAGAATAATAAAGCAGAGGGATATCCTGCAGCATACTCCTCCTTGATGGTACTAGCAGACATGTGAATGTTCTCAAGAACTGTCTTGTCCCATCCTACTGGGTCCCTATGCAAGAGGCAGAAACTTGCAAGAAAAACAAAACTCAAGTGAAAAACACTAGCTGTGTTCGAATGGCCTTTCCGATCCCGCCCCCCCCCCCAGTGTTGCCGGATATCATGTCGGAGTTATGTCAGATTCATGACTTCTTCGGTCGCAGTATCGTTGTGCAGATCTTCTCTTTTTTAATGTAGGAGACATTGTTGTGCCGAACTCATGGGATGAACTGAGATTGAAATGTTGGTTTGCAGTGGCCGATCGATTTGGTGGAATAGGAGATATCTCATCCGGACATCCCTAAATTAACATGGCGGCCAGCTTGTAAGTCAACCTTTCAAATGGCATTTTCCTTTTGAAATGAGTGGAGACGGTTCGAGGAACTCTGGATAGGCCTAATGTTCCCCTACCGCTCTGAAATGGTTCATGAAACTCGTAAAAGGACAACTATCGGTCTAACGTTACACGTTCTCTGTTAACCTTCCTATTCTGTTCCCATTTTAGGTACACCAATTACGATCGGGTCACCCTGACCCGATATACGTTTCCATTGGTTTCAATAGGAATTCCCTTGAGTTTTTTTTTCTGCTTCGTGATTTCTTATAGTAAAGGTATCGATCACACATGTGTTCATTATTTTATTAGCTATGTTTGCATACCTAATTATTGTTAGCACTGAGTTAATTCCAAAATGTTGCAACAAAAACGGATTTCCAAAATTGTCCATTGCGACAAACCTTTATATATTATTGACTTCGCAAGGTGCATAAAACGTACTTGTGCTCAAATTGCAAATATTTTTCCCACGCGATGTACAGTTGATGCTTATTTTGTTGTCATATGCGGAAGGACAAAAAGTACATCCGGCTCATTTTTGCTGTATGTTGCACTGTCCTACATCGGAGCTCGAGTCATTGCATGGTCTAGGCAGTCGCGCAGAAATGACGACGGTAGCAGATTACGGTATGCGTGTATAATATTCTCTTGTCTCTAGCAATGGGCAAAAGCATGAATTGTATGCCCAATTCTACCAGGAACAATCTTTTGAAGAGCTTGTTCTAGTGTTATCCCAGATATATTGCAGTCCACAGCGCATATGCTTTGTAGGCCGAGGTGTCCAACATATAATATACCCAAAATAAATGCTGCAAGGTAATGTTGCCCGTAGGAGTTGTGATGGCATTACATCTCTCTTTTGCTGAATAAGTCAACACCTCTTGAACATTATTAGCATGTGCTTGCTAACCTTTGAGTGCTGTGCATGTGCCACGTCAGGAAATTGTCTAATTAGGTTTTCTCCAAGTCGTATGTAAAGTTCAGATTCCCATAGACAAAAAAGGGTTGATTCCATCGTGTATTTCATACCGTCTCTGAAAAACATGAGAGACATGCCAAGGCAAACGCAGCAACAGAAGGACGGAGAGAAGAAAATGCTCCGAGAGGGTGTAATGCAACAAGAAGTCACACGGCGACCCGGATGGGCTCTTGTAGCCGAAACCAGATTGAATCCGCACTTTACCAAAACTGGCAGAACACTTGACATTGAGAATCACTACCTTTCTCAACAGCAAGTGCTCCGGAAGCTTGTTCCGAGAAGGTTCAAGATAGTGTAACCCGTGTTGAAAATAATGGGGCATGGGCGTCCGCATCAACTTTGGCTCGAAGACACACGTAATTTGACTCCTCGTAATTTGAATTTTCTCCACTGAAATCAAATGAATAGGGAAGAATGCTCTCGCGAGGAATTCCCTGCAATTTCGGTCAAGAATTCTGTAGCTGGAGCTTGAAATTCGGCAGAGGATGAGCGAATAGCAATTTTGTCTGGTGGGACGTGTATAACGCCTTCCGACAGATGAAACGAGTCAGCTTGGAAGCGGAAACAATATATACTGACATCCGGATTTGCAACATGAAGCACTGGATTCTCCTGGGCATTCGTGATTGCTAAATATATTCAACTGAACGGGGACGCCTGAATGGGTCAATCATGAGCTAGACATCATTTAGGACTCTTGGGAATTCTCATATCAGCGAGGTCCTTAAGGAATACCAATCAGCTGTCATCGTTCGAGCGAAGCGAGAATTTCAAGGCGGAAAAAATGAGAAAATTTTAAATACACCTCTTGAAATAGATATACGCAAAAATGAAGTAGATATACGTAAAATGCAATATAAATAGAAAATGCGTTGGAAAGTTTATATAAATAAACTTAAGTACAACCTACACAAGAAAAAAGGAATCATATCGGCACACATTCCCACACCAGAGTATATTGGATTTAGCTCTGTATCTCGGGAACCGGGGAGTATGGGAAAGAGTGCTCAGTCGGAATTCATTACGACAGTATCCCAGAATGAAATCCAATCTCCTGCCGGTGTTCTTCTTTGAGGTCCACATTGAGAGAAGAAAAGAAGGGGGAAAATGTAATGGGTTTTTCCTGAAAATTCCATTTGTTGATAAGGAATCTTGCCGCTTTTTTGTATGGATACTTTCCCGTAATGCCACTGGCGTAATGAGAATGACAGTGACTACTTTACCGCGGTTATTGCACGATGACCGTAAGTAATAACGCTCTGCCCCCCACCTTCTGCATGCGATATCCCTGAACATATTTTGGAAAAGGGCGGAGAGAGAGAGAGAAAGGGGAAACTGCAATATATCCGACGGACCTCGTAAAATCCACATGTCGGATTCCGCCATAACTTTCCTTCTCTATCTTCGTTCTCCCATGAGCATATTCCAGAGGTTCAGCTGCATCTCCCCCTCCTAGACTTCGTTTTCCTTCACCATACTGCCAGTTGCTATCGTAGACATGCTCTGAGATTGGAAGGAACTCTCTCTCTCTCTCTTTCTTTCCATTATTTATTTTTATTTTCGCGGAAACTTTATTTTCCTTACGCATTCTAACTCTCGTTCGCGACAGTTTTAAAACAGTTTTATATTTAAAAAAGGTATGACGTCGAAATGGCTTTTGGACTGTGTTTTGTTCGTTATCCCCGAGAAATTCCTAGCGTCTAACGAATTCAACCTGGCCCATCCGACGCTCAACTTTCATGATCTCGTTTCAAAGTGCCATGAATATTCAGGAGAGTCCCTCTCCTTCACAGAGAAGAGGTTCCTTCTCTCCTGGGAACGAGAGAGAAGGGAATTTGTTTCATCTTCTCTCTCCGTCCTCCCCTCGGTTCGTTAATCTGGGACAATGTAATGCGCCTTATCTGGCTAAAGGAATACGGTTCCTGTCAGACGCTGATACACGGCGGGATGTCGATAGCACTCCGTATTATAGGGGTATCTTTCCCCCCTTGAATATTGTTGGCAGTGGCTTGTTTGTCGAGCTCTATGGTCGCGACGCGTGCAGCAACCGCAGGACGACACAATTGAAGATATGTCATTTATTCCCCACTCTCAATCATATGAATTGGGAAAAACAAGGATGTATGCGGAGACGTTCTCTCCTGGGATCTTCGTTTGAGAAAATCACTTTAAGGCACAATTTTCGTCTCAGCTTTGAAGGCGGTCTCCATGTTTTCTTGGGGGGGCCTGGAACACAAATGGAGTGTGCAGTCAGAATCGGGAATGAAAATGTCATCGGGGGATGACAAAATGCACCCTCTCCTTCTCCGGAACGAGTCCCAAACGTGCAATATCAACCGGGAACATTGAACCAGGATGACACACGGAGGATGAATGCACTCGCTGGAACTTGTGCATGATCTGCCAAGCCATTTCAATCACATCAGAGGGTGTCGGTGGATTCTGGCTCATTTTCGGCATTGAATTATTCATGCTTCACCCATTATTCATGGACTGAGATACGGCGCCGGTCATATCGTAATCTCGGAGATTCATTCCCTCCCCCATCCAGATTATTTTCTTTGTGGGAATCAACCATGTAGGGAACCCACTCGACTGAAATGATGATGAAAATGATGATGATGGTCATGACAGCTGCATCCAGCCCCCCAAGAGATATCATCGATCCTCTTCATATATCGATGTTAGAGGTAACGCTTCGTGAATGCTTGGGATTTATACGAGACAATAGCCAAACAACTGCAAGAGTTGGGCGTGGAGAACAATGTGTTACGAGTAAAAAAGCAAGAGGTCGTTGCTCTATGAAAAGAAAAGCTCGAAGAGAAAAAACA